TTTTAATTTATTTCTATGTTTTTAATTTTTTTCTGTCTCCTTAATTTCTGACCTCCTCTGCATTATTTCTCTCTACTATGTTTTATCCCTTTATAGAGTACTGCACTTTGCATTGGAAGGCAATTAATGTAACAGTAACTCTTCTTAATCCTCTCAATGCTGGGTTTCAGGCATTGGGATAAGGGTGGGAGGTGATAAAAGCAGTCTTTACTCTGGAGCTGAAACTTTTCTCCAAGGATTTGCCCTTCTGGTCTTAGCTGATTGTCTGGGGTCAAGGCCACTCTACTCTGTCTTGGCTGAAAATCCAGCCTTGCCCCCACACTGTCTGACCTCTAGTGACTTCATTTTACCCACAACCCTTCAGTGGAGTCTTACCCAGCACACGTGCAGCCTAATTCGGAGTGAAGCTCAGAAGGACATCCTCAGGAAAAACAACGTACAGAAGCAAGCACACATCGCACAGCCGTCCTCCATGTCTGGTGCTGTGTTGCTCAAGCTCCAGCTGCTCCAGCAGCCCTGAGCTCCAAACTCTTTGACTTCCTCTTGGTCCCATTTCCCCACATGACAATCCAGACATCATCCCCTTGGAGAGCCAAGCTGAACGTGAAACTCACCTTCTGTGCTCCTTTCTCTCAGGGACAAAGGTCCTGATCTGCCTATTGTCAAATGTCTCATGCAAGTGCCTCATGCATTTTGTTCTGTTTTCTACTTGTATGTGGTAGGAAGGCCAAATCCTGCACCGCTTATCATATTTTTAATTTCATTATCTCTCAATTTGAAGATGGCAATAGAATTTGACCAATCACTTATATTTGTTTCTTCTCAATCATCTGTTCTGCCAAAATAAGTATCTTACAGAGTCAAACTAACTTTTTCACATACTTTCAGAAACTTCGTGACTCCTTTTAGAGACTCTGGGATACAACTGAAATTCCAGTATTTTGCTCATGAACCTATTCAGATTCTGTACACCACGTGCTTTTGCATCCTCGCTCCCGCCATTTCCCCGAGATCTTTCTATAAAGTAATTTCTAACGTTTCCTCCACTGCTCAGATCCCATGAATATCATTTAAAACTTCTTCATGTCTTTGCTCCTTCACCCACTTTTTTCCCCTTAAATTTTTACTAATACTTCCAGCAATAGTTTATCTCCTTTGAACAAGTGATTCCTGAGTTGTACTTGATCTATTCAATATGCTTTCTCAGTAATTGCCACACTACACGATTTGGGTTTGTGATCTGTTTGCCCCAAACTCTGTGGACTATAAAGCACTTGTTTTCTTCCCAACAGTGGCACCTTAACCACATAAAAAAATGAAAATCTACACAGCAGAAACCAAAATTTACCTGTGTAAATGAAGAATCTGGATACAATGCTCCTGATTGGTTGTATGAATACACCAGGAAATGTGGGTGTAAAAATGACCTAATTCAACCAAAATAACAACACTTCATTGTAATAACATAATTAATAAAAATAACTTCCCAGAGAACAAAATTAAACAAAACTTACTTTCATTCTACAAGCCCAAACATCCAAAAAATTAAATATACTTATCTCTTCATTTTCCAGCTTTTTAATAGCATATTCTGTACATAAGAAAAAATAATAACTAGCATAACAGAAACTAGTATAGATGCTTTAATGAATTCAAAATGGTCAGCTGACACAGACTTATGCAAAGTAATAGCCAAGGCTTCAGCAACAGTTTTCTTTTAGACTCATTCATCAGTAAATCTCGTGGCATAAATACCTTAGTTAATATTTGCTATCAAGCAGCAGTGGAGCAATAGATTAAGAGTGTGTGTGTGTGTGTGTGTGTGTGCGTGCATTTGCTATCAAGCAGCAGTGGAGCAATAGATTAAGAGTGTGTGTGTGTGTGTGTGTGTGTGTGTGCGTGCGTGCGTGTGTGTGTGTGTGTGTGTGTGTGGTTTTGCATAAATTATTTTCATAAAGTTATATGCTTTTAAAAACAACCCCAGAATTCTCAGCATCCTAAAACAACAAGTGTCCTTCACAAGTTTCCTAAGGTTTCAGCTCCGTGCTGCCTTCACTCTGGAACCTAGAAAAGGCATGGCTTCCCTCTGGATCGTGCCTTTTGTAGCAGAAGGAGAAAAGAGTTGTAGAAGCACAAAGTAGTTCTAAGGCCTTTGCTGAAAAGAAAGAGACTAGTGGTTAGCTCAAATTTTATAAGCTAAACCATTTTTGTAGATAAACCCGGTAGGGAAGTATAATCTTCTCACAAGAACACAGTAATTATCAAGCAACAATATACCACTGTTGCTTATTGTAGGGAGAATGGGTTTTTTCAAACATTCCAAACACCGAGGGACATTCCAAGGCCAGGCTGGAAGGGGAGTCCAGCGCTGGCACAGACTTGATTTAACCACCACTTCTCTCTGCATCTCTACTCCATTTTCTCTCATTCCTGACAGCTTTTCTTTGTCTTCAGATCAAATAAGGAAACTGTAGAGCCTCCCAGAGAAAACATTGTTATTTACCAGTTCATTCAGGGAAGATAAATCGATACATTTATTCAAGGAAAAACTCTGAAGTTAGGGTCAAGCCCATGCTGACACAAGGTCGGAGACACGATTTCACAACTGAGAGGGGGCAAATGGAGGTGGCATAAATGGAGACCCCGAGCGCTCTCAGGAGAGAGGAGCTGTAGGCTGAAACCCTAACAGACACCCCGAGAGCACAATTGAAAGGACAGCACTTTAGTTTACAAGTTTGCTCATCCTGGGCCCTCAAAACAATTCTTTCTGCTTCTATATGCACCAACAACAGAGCCTGGCTTAATCAGTGAAGTAATAAAAATACAAATGACCATGCAAAGAAAAACATGTCACAACATCACATGTGAGGAAACTAAACAATGAAAAGTAAGAAGGCAAAACTTAAAATCTAGCACCACATGAAGTAGCCTTGACTAAAGAGTATCACCACAATCTCAAAAAAGTTAATAAACTTTCAAAGGAGATCATTTCAAGAAAAAATTGAATACTCTGAAGCTAAATGGTACTTAAAATTAAGTAATTTCATAAATGTATCAAAAGATTTGGTTACTAGGAACAGAATTAATAACTTAGCCAACAAAGAGAAAAAATATTGGTAATATACACAGAATATAAATTAAATTTATAAATAAAATTTATTTTATAAATATCTTCCTAAAATAAAGATTTGGAAATAGTTATAGCAAAACTATGATACAGAGAGTGGAACTGTAAGACCTCAGATGAAATAATAGCTTTCCCATATAATAAAAACTGTAGATGGGGGTAAAAATGAAAGAAATAAAAAAAACTTTTTCTTATATGTAGAAGCACAATCTCTTGAAAAATAAAGGGACTCATGACATATCAGAGAGGATTAAGAAAACATACCCACAACAGACACATCCACACATGGATGTACACACCAAAACATGTACTAGAAAATTCATTTAGATGGACTATATATAATTACAAAAAATTTCAGAATAGTAATACAACCCACAATTTCTACACACCTCCAAGCTGCTGTTTAAATATAACAATAGGGACATTTGCAGATCCACACAGATTCAGAAGGCATGCCATCGTGTATTTTATCCTAAGAAAATAGTCTTAAGATATTCTAACTAAAGATCTGGTTCAGGACAGAAATTTGCAATGTAAGGAAAAATAAAGCCGTCATAAACAATGAAAACAGCACTGAAAAGACATGCAAAATGCAATATAATTGTTAAGCAATAAAACTGAAAGCACTTATATACAAACTAAATGTAAAAACAACTTTAAAAATACTCTGAGATTATTAGAGAATAATCCCAAAATCTGTAAAAGAAAATGTGAATATGATTTATTATTTGAAATTTTCTCTTAATAGCAATAAATCCTACAAAGGAGGAAGGCATTCAGTAGGCTGGGCAGCATTTTTGCAAAATGTAGAAGAGATAAAGAGTTAACATACACAGTAAACAAAAATTCCCACAGATTGGTGATGGAAAATAAAAATAGAACAATAAGCCATAGATCAAAATAAAAACTCTAAAGAAAAAACGAAAGCTTAGGAAAGACAATTCAGTTACAATGGTCAATATTTTGAAAGGATATTGCACGTTATTAATGATCATTGAAATGCATATTAAAACAACTATACATTTCTTATCCATGAACTGCAACAGTAAGCGAGTGTAAATACTCATTTTGCCGACACTGTAGAGAACAGAAAGTTTTTGAATAGTCAGTGGGAGTGAAAGTGGGTATAAAGTCTTGAAGTAAAAAATTGGCCATGTATAGCACACCTGAGTGTTTTCTTATTAATAACCCATCAATTTCACAGGTGCCAGGAAGTCATGACATACCCACAAACATCTTTTTATGGCTGCTGTTGTTAACTGATAAAATCAATGGAGAAACCTAAATGCCCATCACTGTAAATATAAGTGGATATATAATAATCGAGATATACTCATTTGATGGCTACATATGCACTTGAAATAACTGAACTGATTTTGCACACATCAGTATAAACGAATCTAATAATCTGTAAAATGCTGCACAACAAACAACGACATACAGTAAAACAGTAAGTACCTATTGCTCACACTCTGGGTCATGTGAGGGTAGGCTCACTAGTTCTACTAATCTTGGTCAGGCTTGTTCAGTGGTCTAGGGTTCTGCTGGATGTTGGCTGAACTAGAATGGAATGAATAGGCCACTGTGTGCTCCATGCATCTCTGTCTTGCAGCAAGCTAGCGCAGGCATATTTTCAGGGAATGGCAGACAAACAAGACAGCAAGCAGAGAAGCGCAAGAGATTTTTCAAACCTCTGTTTAAGTCAGCTAACATCTCTTTAGACAAAGTAAGTCATATAACCACAGGATGGGCCAAATAACTTTGGGGGCTCAAAATAAAATGAAAATGCAAGTCTCCTTGTTCAAAATTATTAAGAATCTCAATCAGCAACAATAGCCGTAAAACTGAGTGTAGGGCCCTTGTAACCATGGGGCCCTGTGGGGCAGCACACTCATGAAGCTGGCCTTGTACTGCTAAACTCAGATGCAGGGGCTCAGGTTGGGCAACTTTAGGGAAGCGAATATACTCCACTTTTTGATGAAAAGAGCTTCAAAGTTACATGGCAAAAAAGTTCAGATACAGGTAACGGTGAAGACCTTAAGTAATTTTTGTGATTCACCATACTAAGATAAATAAGTTATATAATCGAATATACAGTATTGTACCGTTTACATGTATCTAAAATAACACTCAAAACATGATGATTTTTATAGATCACTACCCATATAGATGAATGAAGTTGAAAATACGACAGAAGAATATTGTAATATCATAGGTGTGATTACAACATAGAGTGAGAGAAATGCACAGGTCTGGAAAGGGAAATAATGAGATTCAACTATTATCTGACATGTACAGTTTTTTTTAAATATGTAGGCAAAATACTTACAGATGTACCACTCTTGGTAAAAATTTAATTATTTATATTATTCGAAAAATTCTTAATTTTTAAACATTGAAAAGAAAAAAAAGTTAATATAAAAATATTGGGAAAACTATTTGAATGGACAAACCTCATACAGAAAAATCCAAATATAAAATAAATGTTTAGAGAAATTATTTAGGCAAATAAAAATTGAAGGTTAGATAAACTTTGAGCACATCATGTATGCTTTTAGATATCTAAATTGCTGCTGTCTTTTCAGAAAGTAATCAGGCAACAACTCTCAACATCTTAGTATACTGTAGAATGTGAGTAATAAACAAGGCCTGCCTTAGAGGATGGTATAAAAACTAAATCATTCAATCATTGTAAATTGCTAATAAATGGGCCTGGCAAATGGTACGGGCTCAATAAAAGTCAGTTAATTTTGGTGTTGATGTCATATACTACGATTGTTATTAGTATTATTACTCCAGATCCAGAAACCCACTTCTTGATGTCAAAATTATAAAACAAAATCTCTAATATATAAGAATATATTAACAAGGATGTTTATTGCAGGATTCCATAGTGACAACCCTGGTAATAACCTTATTACCTCTCAGTATTACATACTATGAAATAGTATCTATTACACAATGAGTTAAGATATAAACATAGAGCAATAAAATGAAAATTATACATTATTAAATAAGATCTGCCAGTTTCAAAGAACAGTATACATTTTTTAAAACAAATATTTTTGAAGGTTTCTATGTTTTTCATAAAGAAAAGAAAAAATTTGGAATAGAAAATTATAGAAGGATATATACAAGGTTAATAGCATTGGTTTCCTCACAGAGGAAAGTAGATACAAGAGATGTTAAGAGATTAAAATATACACTGTATCAAAATAAAGAAAAAAACATTATTGTGTATTAGCAGAAAAATCCGAGGCACAATAAAATTTTAAAGAGTGTATTTCAGTAAACCGCAAT